TGGCTCCATGCACGACCAGGCTCCTCTAGCGCTTTGACAAGCTGCTTAAAGGAAAGTGCGTGAAAGTGCATGCGTGCCGCATGTCAGGACCATCTTCGTCATTGGAGGGGAGCCCATTCCTCGGCTGGATGAGAAACCATTGAGAAGCCTGGGGAGGCAGTACACCGCAGATTTATCCAACAGGCAGATGGGGAAGCTAGCCAGGCAACAACTTGCAGAGGGCTTGGCAAGAATTGAGCAAAGCCACCTGGCTGGGAAGCACAAAGTGTGGTGCTATCAGCACATATTGTTCCAACGTGTGCTGTGGCCTCTAAAGGTCTGTGAAATTCCCATATCGGAGGTTAGCAGGATGGACAGCCTCGCCAATAGCTATATTCGAAAGTGGTTGGGCTTACTCCGCTGCTTTTCGGATGCAGGTCTCTTCGGCTGGAATATGCTGGAGCTCCCCATCAAATCCATCAGCCTAGGGTACAAGCAAGAAAAGGCACGCCTTGTATCGGAGCTAAAGGACTCTGCGAAACCACTTGTAAGGAGTGTGAAAGTCCCCATCTGCACAGGCCGCAAATGGAAGGCGCAAGCTGAAGTAGAGCATGCTATCTCTAGTCTGCAACATCGAGAGGTGATGGGGTTAGTCCAGACCGGTCGGGGTGGCCTAGGCTGAAGAAAGCGCCCCAGTACCACTGGTCTAAAGCCACCAAGAGGCAGCAGAAGGCCATGGTGGTGGATGAAATTGCCAGGCTGGAGCAGGAGCGCTTCCACGTAAAGCAGTATCCCAGGGCAGTCAAGGAGCCTGGACGCGATGGGATGTGACTGTGAACAGGCGCATCACCTGGGCAGATATCTGGAGGACGCCACAATCCAGGCTCAGCTTTCTGTTAAGGGCAACCTATGACACCCTCTCATGCCCCCGAAACCTCACCCAGTGGTTTGGATATGAGGTAGGCTGTCCCCTGTGTGGCAACATCAAGGCAAGCATCTAGCATATCTTATCAGGGTGCAAAGGGGCGTTGACCCAGGGACACTTCAGGTGGCGCCATGATCAAGTCCTGGCTAAGCTGGCGGAGGTCCTGGAGAGCTGTAGGGTAGCAGCAAATCGCACATCCGCAGCCGCAAAGCCTTTCCCGGCAGGGTTTGTCAAGTCTGGTAGCATGCTCCAACCTCCTACTCAGAAAAGGAACACCATACTTACACCCGGCAACGAGTGGCAGATGTTAGCAGACCTCAGGAAGCAGCTGGTCTTTCCAAGAGAGATTGCGACAAATACCCTTCGGCCAGACATTATCATGTGGTCCATGGTGGAGAAAAGGGTCTTTACCATACCCTGAGAAGAGGACATGACAGCAGCCCACGAAAGGAAGCATCTCAAGTACTCCGAGCTGGCAGCGGAGTGCCAAGACGCGGGCTGGAAAGCCAGGGTTTACCCAGTGGAGGTCGGGTGTCGGGGCTTGGTGGACAGAACAGCAGTCCAATTGTTCCATGGTGCCGGAGTGGCAGGGTCAAACCTGCGGAAAGCCATAAAGGAGCTGGGAGAGGAGGCCAAGAAAGCAAGCTACTGGCTGTGGCTCAGGAGAAAGCACAACGGGTGGGGACCAACAGCCCTGTAAAGGCAGCTGCAGGGGGTGGCGGGTAGACGTCCCCTACATGCCACTGCCCCCCCGCCGGGAGATGTACCTGGTATAGGGGGCGAAACATCAGTGATCGGCGGCCTCCAGCTGACCTAAAGGTACCGGCAGAGGTGCGACAGGCCGAAAAGCCAAAGCAGGAGCAACATCTCACCTGTATAATGATCTTCTAATATCCTATTTTGTAACAATTATTACAGACTTTATTATATTAACCAACATTAAAATGCTGCATTAAGGCAAGATTTTAAAATCTACAGCTGTGCCTAGTTAGGTCATATTTGGCTATTGGCTAACATTATTTATTTTCCTTCCCTGGCAATGTCAGTTAAAAAGAAAAGTCGTTTCAGAGGCAGTGCGTGTTTTAACATTTTGATGAAAGGTTATCAAGCATTTCTTGTTGACTAATAAATCATGACAATACGACTTGGAATGTAAACGGACTCCATTTCATCTTGACTTTAATTTCACTTTTTGTCCCGCGTAATGCCGTCACTTGGGGCTAGGCTTGTTACCTGTCTGGCATTGTTGAGGTCTTGCAGTTCTTTTATTCCCTCCCACAGTCCAGAACCGTGCCAACAGGAAGCCCAATAAACAAACAGGCCCCTGCCAAGGTCTGGTTTGGAGTGGTCTAGCCCCGATTTCCATCTGCCTCCAATTATACCGCGGTCCCCTCATCCTGCACACCTGCGAGATATTACGAACAGCATGTCTGAAGGAATACCTCCCTGGGGTTAGCAAAGCAGCCAGCATATCCAGCTTTGATACCCGTTGAAGGAGGAAGAGTTGAATAGTTCAGTTTGGGAGAGGCAGACCGAAGCTCATTTTCTGAACTGAACATTTAGTTTTGTTGCTCGTTGGGTTTCTTTCACAGCTGTCTGTTGTTATTGCTCTGAAACAATCAAATTAGGGCAATGCTTTACGTAGGTTTCTAGCATCTAGCGACTTACCGTCAGACCAGCTATGACTGCCAAAATTGTTTACCTATGTTTAATGTTGCGTCGAATGAAGCGGAAACTTTCCCATTGGTTTGTTGAACTCGTGCCATCCACTTGAACTTTCGATGCTAGAACTACCACAGCCTATTAAGATGTTTTAGGACTGTAGCACTAACCCCTGGAGCGCGGGTTCTGGGAATAATTATCTTGAACAGTCTCCACTGCTATTACGTAAATTGTAAATTTCTTTGAGCATGTTTATCTTAATCTACATTCAAGTGGGTCAGAAATGTTCGTCGTTGGTAATCATTGTTATCTTTAAATGTGCTGCAATAAAGTCAACCCACCTTTCACACAGGCATCATGCAACTCTTTGACCTCCAGATAAAAGTGATTTTACTATTATGCGCATATTATGTGCATAGAATTTTTCATTTGTATAATAGGATGATTGTTATATTCTTTCATTGCTTTGTACAGCTTGAGGCCAAGGCCCCCCATTTTCCACAATAATATTTAAAGGCCTCCCTGGTGAAAAATAAATATAGGCCCACTAACTACATTATATTTATTTCATGCTAAGTATAATAAAAAAGCAAAGCAGCCAGCATATCCAGCTTTGATACCCGTTGAAGGAGGAAGAGTTGAATAGTTCAGTTTGGGAGAGGCAGACCGAAGCTCATTTTCTGAACTGAACATTTAGTTTTGTTGCTCGTTGGGTTTCTTTCACAGCTGTCTGTTGTTATTGCTCTGAAACAATCAAATTAGGGCAATGCTTTACGTAGGTTTCTAGCATCTAGCGACTTACCGTCAGACCAGCTATGACTGCCAAAATTGTTTACCTATGTTTAATGTTGCGTCGAATGAAGCGGAAACTTTCCCATTGGTTTGTTGAACTCGTGCCATCCACTTGAACTTTCGATGCTAGAACTACCACAGCCTATTAAGATGTTTTAGGACTGTAGCACTAACCCCTGGAGCGCGGGTTCTGGGAATAATTATCTTGAACCGTCTCCACTGCTATTACGTAAATTGTAAATTTCTTTGAGCATGTTTATCTTAATCTACATTCAAGTGGGTCAGAAATGTTCGTCGTTGGTAATCATTGTTATCTTTAAATGTGCTGCAATAAAGTCAACCCACCTTTCACACAGGCATCATGCAACTCTTTGACCTCCAGATAAAAGTGATTTTACTATTATGCGCATATTATGTGCATAGAATTTTTCATTTGTATAATAGGATGATTGTTATATTCTTTCATTGCTTTGTACAGCTTGAGGCCAAGGCCCCCCATTTTCCACAATAATATTTAAAGGCCTCCCTGGTGAAAAATAAATATAGGCCCACTAACTACATTATATTTATTTCATGCTAAGTATAATAAAAATACGTTTACATATTTATGTACTTAATAAAAATACCCTGCACTTTGTAATTCTAGTATACTAAACTGGTATATTTGAAGTCAGCTAAATTGGAACAACTAAATTTTGTGCTTAATGCACTTTAATTGTGTGTAAGTATAGTGCTGAGGTCCAACTAAAGATATACTGAAGTATATTTGATTGAGTTAAAGTGGAACTATTGCAAGTATACTTTACGTACACTTTAATTATCTTGCTTTTAAAGACCAATGTTATTCAAAGATCACACAATCCTTATCAATAGTGACATAAAACACATTTTAGGATTAATATTAAGAAATATTAATTGTGCACAAGTAGTACTCCAAATGAAGTTTAATTATTTACATTTAGTCATTTAGCAAACATTTTTATCCAAAGCGACTTACAAATGAGGACAACAGAACTAATCAAAACCAACAAACGAGCAATAATATGTAATTATAATTTTTATTTCAGTAAGTCTTGAGCGATATGTCAGTAAATACATGAATGTATTTTGAACTAATGTAGTATGAAATAAATGTATTTTAAATATATTACTTTTTTTTACCATAGGGCTCCTTGCCCTAATTTTGTTTTCAAAACTTATTTCAATCTCTGAGTACTTCTACTTTCTGTAAATTAAAAAAAGCAATTACAATAATTATAAATAAAATAATTACATGATTCCATGACTTTTAGGAGCTGAATGTTCTTCAGGGCTCCCACACTTTTAACATTTACTGACTTTTGTCATTTACTGGGGGAAAAAACAAACTTAATTTTTACCTAATTAAAATGGACCTTATTTCCTGTTGAAACAGGAAGCTCGATAAAAAAAAATCTAGAACCTCCTCCAAACGTGAAGTATGTAAGATTTTAATTTGATGAGAGTTTGGATAGGAGTAAAATATTCTGTCATGAAAAAAAAATCCCATTTTACATGTCAGCAAAACCATGAACTAGGTCTCATGGTCCTGTTTTAATCATAATTTAGTTCCAGACTGTCACCGTGGAAATGCATCTGATGCTTTTTTGTCTTTGTTCTTTAGGTTTACTTTGATTGTGGAGCCAAGGTGGATGTTGTGGATGTACAGGGCCTCATTCTGTCCCCTGGCTTCCCATATAACTATTCATCTGGAACTCACTGTGTGTGGCAGTTCTTTGTACCTGTTGGTAACCAGCTAATCATGGAGATGTTTGATTTTGATGTCTTTGAGAGTCACAACAGTGCCGTTGTAGACGAGGTACCGAACGATGGTGGCGCGATGGTATCGAAAAGCCTCGGAAGTCCAAAAGAACCCCAGTCCACACACCGAGAGGACGTCAAGCAAGTGGTGATCCAAGAACAATCCACCAAAATGGAGATGACCAAAGTTTCCAATTCTGCCAAAATGCTTTCCGATTCCCCCTCGGCTCCACAAGCATCTCTTCCAGTTGAAAACAGAAATTCTGTTACATCTCAGGCATCAAGAGCAGCCATTGACTTTATCTCTTCAAGCCCACATACGGCCACAGAAACGGGTGACACTGTGAGCCCTGAGACCCAGCCACCTTTGATTGATGCCTGTCCCCACGATGTTCTCTACATATCAGATCTCATCACCTTCTCCTCCCGATTCTGCGGCTCTAGACGGCCTTCTAGCAGCCAGTTAGTGTTTGGATCTGATGATGACATGGTTGAGGTTATTATGGAGTTGATTACCACTACCCACTGGGGCCGTGGTTTCGCTCTCCTTTTCCATTATCAGAATCAAACTCAGGCAGCCACAAGCGAACATCAGAGATCGCTATTGACCTCCGACAGCAGAACTGGTGCACTGCTCGGTGCTGTAAGTGGAACAGTTGTATTTGCTGTGGCCCTTGCTGGCATCCTCTGTGTGATTTTCAGGTAAGGAAGTTTATTCTACAGATGCAGAGATTTATTTGAAGTTAATCTTGAATTCCAGAAAATCCCATTCAGTCGCCAGCCAAACATATCTGACTTAAGAGTTGCTAGGTGAACCAGTGGTGGACATGTGTATATCTAATGTCTGCATTTTAAATATATATATATATATATATATATATATATATATATATATATATATATATATATATATA